TATGGATTGTGATATGAGTTGTATGAGCCCCTAATAAAACAATTTTATTTAAAAGGAAACATAACTGATATGCTATTATATTGCTTATGGTGCAGTTGTGCAGTAATGTTAATGCATAAGAAATTAAACTGAAATTAAACTGAAGGAATTTATTTGTAAAAAGAAGAAAGCCCCAAGGTAGAAACCTGCGGTGATTCCAGGGCTTCTGAGTGGAGGCATCTGGTTGGAGTCGATGGTTACAAAAGAAAATCAAGTTAGCAAGGCAGGTATGTTTACAATGTAGAAAGCTTCAGTCCTTCTCTCCAGTTACCTTTCCAAGATGTATGATTTGATTGCAACTTTATCAGTAAAATTTCTTTCTTACGTTACCGTGGGTATGTGGGTGTGTATCTATCTATCATCTATCTATCTTTCTATCTCTATCTACATCTATACCTATCTATAGAATGAGCGAGAGATACATACACATACATACACACACATAGCACATATTCTTTTTCATATATCTACGATATTTCATTTTTTAAAGGATATTATTGCATTAAAAGGCTTATTATGGAAAAAGGTCATGTTTTTCACTTACAATGATCTAAGACTATCTTGATTCAAATGAACTGTCACCTTCTAAAATGAAGCCTTTTCTGAGAAGACAACTTTGTAAATTCTTTGACTAAGAACTTTCAAGGTGAAGTTCGACAGGAGTGTACATTCCGCAGAATCCCCGTACCTCGGAAATGTACAGGTCAGCTTGCTTCAGCAACTCTGCAATAATCAAAACGTTGGAGGTCGTGCCGTCGCCTGTGACGTCATCCTGGGCGGTGGCTACCTTTGCAATCAAGGAAGCGGTTGGGTGTTGGATTTGCTGGGAAGGAAGTAATGGGTGAAAAAAGAGAAAGGCCATGACAAAGCAGTCCATCACAGAACAAGATAGCCTAGGGGTCAGGAGGAAAATTAAGATATGAAATAAGCATCATTCTCCAAGTTCTGTATTCTTACTTAATAAATGTCAAGCCCCAGACTTTTAAAATGGAGAACTAATGAGGTTTGAACATTGTTTCAAGTCTGCGCTTCAGAATGCATTGACATTTTCAAAATAAGATTAAGTCCTTCCATCTCAAAGATGAATCCATTGACTAAAACTGAAAAGGATTTTTTTCCATGACAACAAGGAGTATGATACAGTGTTTTTAGATGCTATTAATCTGGAAGCATCCCTGGGCCATGATTTTGCACTGTCCAAAGAGTTCTAAAATAAACATCCTTATTGAGGTTTAATCTAACAAAGCTCTGTTCTTCCATCAGGCCGCTCAGACTGTGTTCTTAGTTCAGGTGTCTTACGGCTTCCTGAAGGCAGCAGCCTCGCTCACCATCTCATGAAGCAGCACATTGCCATCTTTGGTGAGTCTGATGTCCCCCGCTCCCGACACAAGCCTGTCCAGGGAACAGGGATGTTATTAACCTCAAGTGGCAAGAATCGAGAAGGCCCCCCCACCCCAATGTCTGCCCCTCCGCTATCCTACAGCAAGGAACAAAGCTTGGGAAACATCCACTGTCCTGTGGGGGACACCATGGTAGTGACCATCATTTGCCAGCCACAGAATTCCTCTCCAGATGGACTGTTATGGCCACTTCCTGCCACATGAAGTGTCTCTAGGTTGAAATAGCAGTTGATGAACTCGCCCTCCTACTTCAATTGCCATCCACACACTACTGGCCTACAAAGTGACCACCAGGAGGGACACTCTTCTTAGAGCAATCAACCATATGATATCCAAGGGGCAACATTTTGCCCAGAAATAAAGCTCCAAGGGTGGGAGGGGACAGGAAAAGACCATGGAAGCAGCAAACACGGGGAGGGCCTGGGAAGAGTGCTGTTGCATTATGGGGATTGTATCAGGTGTCAGTGTATGATCTGATGAACGGAAAACCCATTTGCTCTGTGTACTTTCATCCAATTCATAATTTTCAAAAATGGAAAAAATAATCCCTTAAAATAAAGAGCAGCTGATGGACTGTGAACAGTACTTGTTCAAAGATAAGTACTTAGATGTCTACAAGCCACAATTTCATCCGTTTCATGTTTTTGGAATATTTTCCATTCCAATACTCAGCTTGGTTTCCCTCATGCCTCCTATTTACCAGATCACTAAGTTCTGTCAATTGTACAAATGAAACATCTCTTGAATCAATCTCCTCCACTCCATTTCCAATGTCATCCTTCCTACCCTTTGACTCCTTTGACATCCTCTTAGTATCTCAATGTGAAATCTTCCTCTCACATTACACTTCTCTAGCAAGCAATGTGATTCAGTCAGGTGCCTACTTAAAATCCTCTAATGGTGTTCAATTCTTCATCACCTTCAAAGAAATATCCAAAGTATTCATCAACGACATACCTTACTTTTCCCAACCTGGCTTCTGTGTACCTTTCCTGCCTCTGTCTCTCACTTTCCCACAGGGAAATCTTGCTTCCAACACCTCCTGCTTTGTTGCAGTGTCTATTGCGTTTGCACTATCAGGCTTGCTTGGTCCTGAAGTGCTCTGCCTAGAGCCATCTCCCCCCTTTCTCCAACTGGTGGACTCTTATTACTCTTCTTTTGTGACAGATGAAACATGTGCTTAAGGAGGAGTCCTGGTGGCTTAGTGAGTTTTGCGGTTACAAGTTGGGCTAATAAAGTAAGATGAGGCTGTCTATTCCAGCAAATATTGGCAGCCTTGGGAACACAAAGGGGCAGGTTCTATTCTGTCCCTAGGAGTCAGACTCAACTCGATGGCAGTGGGTTCCTGCTTCCCTTCTCGTGGCATTAAGTAGTCCATTTCTTCAGCAGAGATAGAAATTATTGGCACGTCTGTCTCCTTCAACCATAGCTCCTTCAGAACAGAAACTTTATCTTGGTCACCTGTGTCCCCAATGTTTGGTAGAGTTACATTTACCCCCTACCAAAACCCACTACCACCATGTGAATTCCAACTCAGAGTGACCCCACAGGACAGAGCAGAGCTGCCTCTTTGCGTTCCGGAGACGGTAAATCTTCACTCAGAACATTCGCTTCATCTGTCTCCTCTGGAGCCACTGAAGAGCTCACACTGCTGACCTTATGGTTGGCCGCTCAACGTGTAACCCACTACGCTACCCCGAGCTCATTTATTCCTGTATCTCTCCTCTTACACACACTTCCCTTCACCATTCTTTTTCCCTGGGGTGGGGAGTGATCCGCTAAAGAAAATGATGGTGCTAAAGACATACACGCGGAGGATGCATATAAAACCCATAAGCACAGAACGACACGCCTAAGGAAGTCACAGCTCAAAGGTTACGGAACTTGAATTTGAACCTATGACTGCCTGACTAGAAAGCCACGGCCACACACACACACACACACGATCTAATTTACAGAAGGGCGTGTAGTCTCCAAGGCCAGAGGAATCCAAAGGTGGACGTTACTGAGAGACTAAATCGAATCGTAAAGGCACAAGACAACGAAAAGTGGGTAGAGTCGGGGGAGTGTCTAGAGTCACTCAAGGCGGCTTTTGCCCTCCTCCGTCCACAGGCTCCAGACGAGCCCGAGGCAGGCACGAGAACCAGGGGACACGAGCGCCCCGCCGCGTCGGAGCTCCCCGCGGAACGTCGGGCTCGGAGGACCGCGGGACCCGCAAGTCCCCCAACCGCCGCTCTAACTGCCCCTCCAACGGCCGCCTCACATTTTCATGGTGCCCTTGGGCCCCAAGTTGCTTCGCAGCACATCCTGCAGCCCTCGGGCGGCGCAGATGTTGACGGCCAGCGCCGCGCGGGCACGCGCCACCTCGGCTCTGGAGTTGATGGCCTTGAGCGCGGCCATGGCGCGGCTAAGCAGGGCCCCCGGCCCGCCCGCCAAGCTCGGCTCGCCCGCCCTCCGGCCACGCCCGCTCCGGCGCGCCTCAGCCAATCAGCGCGAGGACCGGAAATGGCGTCGTTAAGCATCGCCGAAGCGGAAGTCAACATCGCCCAGGGTCCGGTCGCCGGGATGGCGTCCCCCGCTTCGTCGCGAACTTCTTCGGGGAAGCGAGTGGTGAATCAGGACGAACTGCGGCGATTGATGAGGGAGAAGCAACGCTCGAGCGCCAATCGCAAACGGATCGAGTCTCCATTCGCGAAATACAGCCGCCTGGGGCAGCTGAGCTGCTGCCTCTGTAACACGTCGGTCAAGAGCGAGCTTCTGTGGCAGACGCACGTCCTGGGCAAGCAGCACCGAGAGAAAGTGGCCGCGCTGAAGGGCGCGAAGGAAGCCACCCAGGGGCTGTCCGCCAGTGCAGAGCCTGCGTCGGCCAAGAGGAAGGCGCCCGACGCCGAAAGCCACAGCGTCAAGCGAGCGAAGGCCTCCGCGGCGCCTCAGGTACAGCCCTCCACGTCCGCCTCGCCCGCCGCTAAAGCGACCTCCAGTCAGCCTTCAAGGCTCGGCTTACTCGCCGATTACGACGACGACGACGACGACGAGGAGGAGGGGGAGGAGGAGGGAGGAGAAGGGAAAAAGGAGGGCGTTAGCAAGGTGGCCCCGGACGCGCTGGCCAAGGAGCACTCACTGCCCTCCTCGCGGGAGGCGGCCACGAGTGCACTGCCCAGCGATTTCTTTGATGCAAACCCTCCCAAAGCCCCGATGATCCCTCATTCAGGGTCCATTGAGAAAGCAGAGATTCACGAGAAGGTGGTGGAAAGGAGAGAGAACACGGCGGAGGCACTCCCGGAGGGTTTTTTTGACGACCCAGAAATCGACGCCAGGGTTCGCAAGGTGGATGCCCCGAAGGATCAGATGGACAAAGAGTGGGACGAATTTCAGAAAGCCATGAGGCAGGTCAACACGATTTCCGAAGCCATCGTTGCCGAAGAGGATGAGGAGGGACGGTTGGACCGGCAGATTGGGGAGATCGATGAGCAGATAGAGTGTTACCGCCGGGTGGAAAATCTGCGGAATCGCCAGGACGAGATAAAAAACAAACTGAAAGAGGTTCTGACCATCAAAGAACTGCAGAAAAAAGAGGAGGAGAATGTCGACAGTGACGACGAGGGGGAACTGCAAGATTTGTTGTCGCAGGATTGGAGGGTGAAAGGGGCTTTGTTGTAGGACTTCAAAGACCCAAAATTTTTAAAACCCTCTTCTTTTGTATAGAAAGTGCTGGCTCTTGGTATGGACTAGAGAGACTGCCTACCTAACCAGTTACTGAGTTAAAATGAGCCTGTGAGGGACAAACTTTGGAAAACTGGTGTAAAATACTTTTGAGGTAAAGTTGGCTTTGAAGTTTTTCACATTTACAAACTCAAACATGTTAGGTTGTAAATCTGTCCACTAATTTTTTCACATAAATATATATATTTAAGCCATTCTGCTTTGAACTTTGTGAATTAATAGAAGTCCGTCCAATATGCAAGCTTTTAGAGCAGCAGTTCGAAGCCTGTGGGTCGTGACCCCTTTGGGGGGGTCAAACGACCCTTTCACAAGGGTCGCCTGATTCATAACCGTAGCAAAATTACAGTTTTGAAGTAGCAACGAAGATAATTTTTTGGTTGAGGGGTCACAACATGAGGAACTGTATTAAAGGGTCTCATCATTAGGAAGGTTGAGAACCACTATTTTAGAGGAGTATACATGTTATTTGAGATCGCCTTTTCTGACTCCTAAAGCAAACTAAGTGGATTTTGTTTTGTTCTAAGAATATTGCTCATGAACTGCTAAATCATTCTAAGTTAATTCTCTAGGTGCATGCAGTTTCAAAAACAGGCCAAGCATGACGAACCTTCACCAATGCAAAGTTTCTCTTAACTAAACCAATAATTTTCAGGTGTTGGGTGAACATGAGAATCACCTTTGGAACTTTTTTATAAAAAGGTAATTTGACTTGTTTTCAACGTACCTGAGCACTACCCTTACAAGGTGTCAGTAAGTCGGAAGTGGGGCCTAGAGAGCTAGATGGTTTTTGAAAGCAGCATGGTTAATCTAATCTACACATAAAGTTGGAGAACCACGGCCCTAAATGTTAAATTTCATTATTACAGTTTGTGGTGAATTATGGTTCAGAATTACTAGTCTTTATCGGTTGCAGGAAAGTTTTTAGTTGTTTTTCTAGTAACATTTGGCTTTTGCTGCACAATGATAGTTTAACTTACTCTTCCTTTTGAAGATACTAAACAAAAACAAAAAACTCACTACCATCTAGTTGAATCTGATTCCTAGTGAGGCTACGGAGCAGAATAGAGCTGCCCCTGTGGATTTCAAAACCAGCTCTTACCGAAGCCAGGGAGCAGAAAGCCGTCTCTCTCCCGAGGAGCTGGTGCTGGTGGGCTCATGCAGACCGTGGACCAACCCACCACACCACCCAGGCTCCTCCTTTGAAGATAAAGTATTCAAATAGGAGAGAGGGATTGACAGTTCCAAGGCTGGAAATGCATATAAAGAACAGTGAGTAGTAATCGCGAGAGCTAAGACACGCGTTCACTCCGAGCCAAACAAGAATCTCTGTGTGCTTTTTATACAGACAGTACCAGATTACAAATAAGGTCCTACATCTGCAAATTGAATTTGTATGTAAATCAGAACAGTTCGGTATGGTTTGTATCAAAATTTGTTTTAGCATATAGTATACCTTTCTTTTTAATTTAGTATACCTTTCTATGCATTAAAAAAAGAACAAAGCTTCCAGATACATCCAAAACATCTTTAGCATAATAATGTTTCAGAGCATGTTGCAAAGTAGCACCCACTTATTATTACATACTGTTGTATGGACTGTCAGTTTTTAATAGAACAAGCTTTATGGAGTTGATTCAAAAATTAAGTTGGACTTGTATATAAAGTGGACGTTTGTAACTAGGGACTACCTGGATGTTAAGTCCATCTAATTTAGCTACAGCCCAGTTTTATGGTAGAGAGTACCAAGAAAAGTATGGAAAACCTTATGTTTTGATGAAATGCCTTTTGCAGGCAATATGGAGGGAGAAAATTTGGACAAAAATGTTAAAGGAAGATTATTGTAGGTGCAGTGTATAGCATGGAATGAACATGGGAGAAGAAAGCTGAAAGTTAGAAACTAGCTTTTCAAAAGACTTGTTTAGGTATGGCGCGAGAGAAGAGGAATAGAAAAATGTCACAGGGAGAGGCGGTTTTAGTGACAGTTTAGCAGTGGAAGAGAAAAAACAAAGATGGAGTCTATGTGGATGATTAAAAGAAATAACAGCAATTGCTATGTGCCACAACTTTTTAAAAAATCACTTTATTGAGAAATCTTACAGATATAACAGTCCATAATTCAATTAGATCAAGCATAATTGTACAATTGCTGATACCATTGCTACCAGTTTCAAAACATTCTTTTTCTTGAATTATTTGATATATTTTATCCCCTCCCTCTCTCACCCTACTCCCCAGAAACCTTTATTTTATTTATATCTATATTTGTTGTATCTTAAACCATCCAATGTCTCCGTTCACTTACAATTCTGTTACTTGTGGGTGTTGGGTGGGGTTGTACAGTCATCATTGCTGTCAGTTCCACAAATTCCTAATTACCCTCTGCCTAGGCATTTGAGCTAGTAGCTGATCAGTGGTAGGAACTCTGGGGCATGAACTCATACGCAGAATTTTCCGTCATTCATGACTGACTGATTTAAGAATGTGAAAAAAGTTAAAAAAAAAGGAAGGCTGGAATAGTGGCCCCAGTTCTACTTGGCCTAAGAGTTTGATAATAGCACTACATATATATAATTTCATTTGTTTCTAGTAGCTACTTTAAAAAGAACAAAAGGAAGTTCATTTAATAGATTCATGTCATCTAAAAGATTAACATTTCTACATGCCTCCTCTAATGGTAATTTACCTCTTGTACTTCATTTTTAAAATTTTAAATCTGGTTCACATCCATCTCAATTTGGACTCAACACATTTTAAGTGCTCATAGTCATGTGGCCATTGGCTACCATGTAGGACAGCACAATTCTAAAGGGAAGAGTATCCAGGAAAAGTAAGTTAATGTTTGTAAGGGTGGATTCTAGACAGTTGTGGGGAGCCTAGGTGCCATGCTCTAAAGCAGGGGTTCTCAACCTTCCTAATGCCGCAACCTTTTCATACAGTTCCTCATGTTGTGCGCCCCCCCAACCATAACATGTTGTTGCTACTTCATCACTAATTTTGTTACTGTTGTGAATTGGGCCACCCCTGTGAAAGGGTCATTCGACTCCCAAAGGGGTGGTGACCCACAGGGTGAGGGCCACTGCTCTAGACTAACAATCGAGTGTCCTTGATGGTTGTTGAGTCCTGATTGGGACACACAACAGTGTCAAGAATGCTAGGAACACGTTACTACTCTGAGGAACCCTCGTGTGGCTTTGAAGGGGCCCAAGAGGTCCAGGGATGGTATGCTGCCGCAGTAGGTCCTTAGGCCTTGTTGAGTTTGAGATTAGTGTAGTTGGTCCTCACTGAGTCCTTGGGTTTGAGATGAAGCAGCTTCAGAGGTTAGTGGCTCCTGTACACATGGGAAGTCTCCTTTTATACCTCTTTCAGCTTGCTCAAATAGCTTTTGGCATCAGACCATGAATACCACCAATGTTCCTAAATCATAAAAACCAGTCCAAAGGCTCCTTCCAGCCATTCGTTCTCTGTCCAGAGCACCCACTAACTCAGCTAACAGCATATTAGAACTTTTGTCTTCAGAATACTACAAAAGTATCCTTTCAGCCCCTCCACTTCCAAACTGATCCCCCAACTTGAATAACAACAACACAAAAGGACATTTGTCCAGTGCCTCACAATTTACAGAACGCTTCCTCATGTATTTCATTGAATGATGGCTTTACACACCAGGGGACAAAATAAGAGGCTGTGGGATTAAAATTTTGCAGGGTGAGGAATACACTGTGCACCTAAAACCTTTAGTAGTAGCAATCATTGGGTTAGTCTGGAAAGAACAAAGAGATTGGCAACAGAACCACCTGGGTTGAGCTCCCACTCCATTGTAGGCAAATTGCCTCTCTGAACCAGAGATCTGGGCTCTGAAATGAGGATGGAAGGATAATCCCACTTAGAGGTGGTGAGACTCAAATGAGACCTGCATGAGAGATATGAGGGGTTTGGGAACTGCAGGGCAAGAAAAGAGTTCCTTTCTACTAGTTGCATCTGGGTGTCCCCTGCCTGTGCTTGCTGATGAGCTGGCTAATAAATGTCCCTTTATTTCCTCTGCAAAGTGAAAGAATTAAAGCTTTTTCTTTTTTTTTTTTTGAGACTTCTTTTAAACTCCAAGTCGTTAATTCTATCATTGGTTGACATGAGATCAGCAGGAACCCACCTTTTAAAGCTTTTTAAAGTCAAGCAGTTAGCTACCTGGAGGCAGAAATAGCTGAAATATTGTGAATCACACTTCCTAGATTTTCCCAGGAGATTCCCAGTTTATAGAATGTAAAATCATTAACAGTGCCCCTTTGAGGACCAGACCACCCTGTCTCCTACCTCCCCCCCCAAAATTTGTATAGATATATACACACACATACAAGGGGTTCCATAAAAAAACTTTTTTTTCCAAAACTATGTATTTTCATTTTTTCACAAAACAATCTTATCACCTTTAAAGTATTCTCCATTAAACTTAATACATTTGGCAACTCTGATCCCATTCTTGGAAACAGTTTTCAAACTCATGTTTGGATGGCTGACAGCACCTTCCCCTCATGTTTTCTTTTGTTTGTTTGTTTGTTTGTTTTTCCCCCTCGTGTTTTCTTCACCTCTTCTACTTTGTCAAATCGCTGCCCTTTCGTGTCCCTCTTCAGCCTCAGAAACAAAAAGAAGTCACACAGAGCGAGGTCAGGTGAGTAAGGTGTGTGGGGCAAGAGATCTGAACATAAAATGGGAGGTCTCGATGGAACTGCTGTGGTTCCTGTCTGTATCAGCTGCTTGGCTGGAAGTTGTGTGGAGGATTTGAGTAAGTATATGGGCAGGAAGTGTGGCTAGAGGACCTTAGCTTGCTTTATAATACTAAGAGTCTACCAGCCTGTATTATGCCAAGAATTTAGAAGCTTTAAATTTGAGTAGAAAGGAAAAAATCCTGACACTCACTACATTCTATTTTTTAATCTACTTTCCCTCCCTCATCAATTTCATTTATTTCCACAGGAAACCTATATACTAATAATTTTCCATTTGAATCCCAGGCCTTGACCTTTCTAACCTTCTGGCTCATCCAGCTTCCAGATCACATCTCCAGTTTGTTGTTTAATATTGTGTTAGATGCCTACAAGTCTGTTCTGACTCATAGTAGCCTTATAGGACAGGGTGAAACTACCTCTGTGGGTTTCCAAAACTAAGTCTATAGGAGTAGAAAGCCTTATCTTTCTTCGGA